CCGAAGCCCAGGCTCGTCCGCGTAGGTCGCAGACCGACGTTTCGAGATCGGGCCGTATCGAGCGCATAAGGCGCCCGATCAGTGGGGAACCCGAAGTCCAGCCTACGGCGGGCTCACTCTAGTGGGCCCGATCGAGGGGACTACGGACGCGGCCTGAGGGCGCCACACGGTAGGCTCGGACCTCGGCTCCCTTACATATTATATGTAGTATAGTAGTGACCTTTAGGGTACTTTTAGGGTCAGGCATTAAGTATTTATTTCAACCTGACTTCAATTACGGATATGATGAATAGAGAAAGCATAATTATTTCAGTGCTTTCATTTTCTTTAACACTAAAGTGCTAACTTTTAAGTGCACATTGTTAATTTAGCTCGGGAGTTCCGTAAGAAGATAATTTTAAGCATTAAGAACAAACTTATGGAGATATGAGGGCGCGTATATTATGCGATAACCGTGAGCTCGTGGGTTAATTTGTAGCTCCATACTCTTGAAATATTGTTGTAGTAAAACAATATGACAAAATTGTCCCTTAAATACGACCAAAAACGTAGGTATTCATGTCAAAGCGACAAACCTCAAAACAATTAGACTGGACAGCAATAATAGGCTGAAAGCTGATGGAATTCCTAGCATAGACCTGTCTGATGCGTAGTCACTATTCCGCAAACAATGCGGTTTTAACTGTCTTCATTTCATTCTTGTGTGAATGTGATAGAAAGAGAGGGATGTTGTGAAACTGTCTTGCAAGGTAGACCACTGATCACTGCAGCGTTTGTGTATGTGTACCAGAATAGTTTTAGTGCTAGAAATCGTTTGCAAAGTGACGTTGTTGCAGTTGGTTAAAATGCAAAGTCATTAAGCATTAGTTTAAGCAAAAGTACTTTTGAACTTTATAATTGATTGACCATTAAAAAACATATCAATACTTATATTGAATAGCACTACATAGGTTTAAGTGACATCTCTTCTATATACAGGGTGTTAGGTAAATGGGTATATGAGCCGACACTAGCCCATGTTAACATGGGCATATAAATGATATGGTGAAGTCAGAAAATTGATATCTTCATTTTAATTATTTTAATTTTCATAAAAATCGGATTTTATAAAATTTATTTTGTATGAAAATTTAAAAAAATAAAATGATGATATCAAATTTCTGACTTCACCATACCATTTATATGCCCACGTTAACATGGGCTAGTGTCGGCTCATATAGGTACCCATTTACCTAACACCCAGTATAGAGTATATTGAGGTCATGCCAATTAAGCCAATCAGAGGTAGAAACATTAATTTCCTCAATTTGATTCCTCCCGCCTGAATCGTCTGAGCATTCCGCTAAACTAATTTCCTAAAGTTATATGACAATATCATAGTTATTAATCAAAATTAGTACCGTATATAATTTTCGCATACTGCCCGTTATTGTCAACTGATTACACTGTAATCTAACCAGCCATTGATTGCTGACACCCCGTGGCAGCGGCCGATAATCGCTGCAATTTCATTAACGTAGTTACAAACAGATCGAGCTAAGCGAGCTAACCGCGTAATTACAAACTGTTAATCGAATGCACAGCCCGTGGTAGACTTTGGCTATGCGCAATTATGTGTTTTGCAACAGTAACTAAATTGGGTAGGAAGGGAAAAAAATGGTGCTTTTTGTATTGCTCTATAATTTTGTATTCAATTGAATGTAAGATCTTAAGCTCCTGTTATATTTAAAACTGAAAGCAACAAAGACCCAAATGCGATATTTATTATGTATGTAGAACCTACATGAGTATTTACAGTTTGACCTTTGAGCTATGCTTTTACTTAAATATATCCATCACCAAGACCAAAATGTATGCCATTTGATTGAACTCAGTTTTAAATTCAATTAAATGACCAGGATCTGATTTAACTACAAAAATTAAAGCCAGACTCAAAAGGAATAATCATACCGCTTTTCCAAATCCAATGTCATCGAATAAGAGCGTTCGCGCCAAACACATTCAGAAACTCTAGATGCAATTCGTTCCTTTTCGTTATCCGCACTTTCTTTGAGTAGTTTCGGAAACAAGTTTGCATAGAAACGGTTTAAACTGAAAAGCTAGATTGCGAGAAAAAGAAATGAGAGACGGTAAGTGAGAAATATATTATTTACCCTTTTTGGATAAAAAACCAGCTTCAACACAAAATTCACTCTCTCGTAATGACTAAAACCTTTTTAAAAACAACTTTTTATCAGATATCTGGAAAAGCACTAAATGTTGAATGACCTAAATTGGATTTGGGTCATTTATAGGCGTGGGAAAATAACAATGAATACGTTTTAATTTTTATTTATTTGTAGAACTCATCCCGCTACACCAGGCAGAATAATTCAGTTCAGTTGTGTCCTACTCGTACAGTCATAGCAAAAAGAGGATCGTAAAATTTATTTTCCATTCACACAAGCGTGGGTTTACGTGTGTTCTCAATCGGTGTTAGTTTTAATATTCCCTTTACTATGTTACAGCTGATCTGATAATCCATTTGAGTGGTTTTTTTCTATGTACTTTTTGTAATAAGTGTAAAATCCCTGGACTTTCAGATAGTGAAACAATCGTTACCTACAGATCAGATATGCTTAGTTTCGTGATTGCTGTGTTAGGTATTAGATAACTACTTAAATAACTTTAACTCTATCACTTTCGGGACAATAAAGTGGACCAGTGTTCAGAAGAAGCAGCGCAAGAATCTCAGTCACCTTTGTCAGCCGCTTTTTCAAAGGTTTACAATAAGCAGTACTAGTGCCTGGATGCAAGCGGCGCAGGACCGATCTTTGTGGTGATCCTTGGAGGAGGCCTTTATGTCGATTTTTAGGACTATTAGCTTCATACATTACAGGTGAACTATATCAACGTTATAATAACAGATAGTGTAGAGAGAATTTTACTACTATCGACCGACGTGACTACGAAAGAGAATAAGAGATTACTCTAAATTGGAAACACCATCAACCACAACACGTTACGTAAAAGCCTGTATTCCCACTTATAGATTTTCAGTGAAACTAAAACGTAGATTAGTGGGGATTACGACACAGAGGCGTCTACGAGGAGACCTTGCGGCTTACTTAGACGCCGTCTAATCGACTCATCAATCTAACTAATCCGACAGTCAATACAGGATTACCTAATTAATAGAAAATTTTGGGCGAAATTACTATCTTGATTTAGTTAGCTCTTTTTAATTTGTCAGCTGGTTGAATCTAGATTCAAATAATGTATAATCATTTTACGCAGCTTACTGGGATGTCCACCCACAAGGTGGACCGACGACCTGATAAAGGTCGGGAAGGGATGCAGGCCGCTACCAACCGTGCGATGTGGTTAAGCCATTGGAGGAGGCCTATGTTCAGCAGTGGACGTCCTGTGGCTGAAATGATGATGATGATAATAATTTTACAACTGTGCAAGAAAGTTTGATTTCTTTTAAGCACCACCCAAAATGTGAGACTTTTATCCCAACTAATATTATAAATGCGAAAGTAACTCTGTCTGTCTGTCTGTCTGTCTGTCTGTCTGTCTGTCTGTCTGTCTGTCTGTTACGCTTTCCCGCTTAAACCTCGCAACCGATTTTGATGAAATTTGGCATAGAGATAGTTTGAGTCCCGGGAAAGAACATAGGATAGTTTTTATCCCGGTTTTTGAAACAGGGACGCGCGCGATAAAGTTTTTCTGTGACAGACAAAATTCCACGCGGGCGAAGCCGCGGGCGGAAAGCTAGTATCCAATAAAATCTGTTCAAACATAGTTAAATATTGCAGTAACTTAAATCACAATTATGTCATGCATTTTTAAGGCATGGACTTAATATTAGTCAATGCTTTAGAGGATAGCTAAACTTTGAAAGAGAACTAATAGCGACCTCTTCAATGATAAATTAAGAGCAGCATTTAATCTTAAAAGTTACCAATTATGAGAGAATACTTGCTGTATTGAACAGATGGCTCTGGAATCTAAGGAAAATCTGTTTTTTACAATAAATTGTATTATATTAAGTTTGTTTTTTTTTTAGTTTTTTTAGACGTTTACTTGTCTTTTCATCTTTGAGGGCTTGAATATTAAATACATGATAATATTTCACCAATATAATTCATAACAAAATATTTAACTGTGTCGCTATTGTCACTAACGATCATGAATGAATGGCAGGTACATTCATAGTTTTCCTATATTATTGTCAACATTAGTCGTACTCTATAATGTTTTGAAATAATACATTTAGTTCTGTGGTTCCGTAGCACGTTATAATAATTTTGCCTAGAACGAAAAATATCTAATTCCTGCTGCAAAAATGTCCGTAGCGACCCCTATGGATTTCCCCGGGATACTCCTGAAAAGGCGTGGAGTATTGGTTCAATGCATTGCTCATAGATGGCGCTTTCATAGGGTGGGTTTTCTTTCAGCGGGACTTCATTCATTTTATTTTTTGCACAAATAATATAATCTAACTTGTTTCTGTGCCATAATCTTTTTAATGTTATCAGATTAAACACTGTTAGTTAGTTTTTAACTTAATTATAAACCGAAACCTTTGTTATTTATGGCTTCAAATATTTTTGAGGACAATACACTTTCTTACAATGTTTTAATCGAAATTGAACGGACCATTTTCGTAGTTTATTTTCTCTTCTAGCATCTCAATAAAATATATTTTTATATTATTTAGCCCGTCTCACTCGCGCACCGCGGAACACTAAAACCGCATGACGCTAACTGAAAACAATTTAACACCGATCATAAACTGCATCAATGCGGCTGCCACAGTCATCATATCGGCAGTCGCATTTTGAACAAACATAACAAACCGTGTTTCGACTTGTTCAAATCTAAACAAACCTCGTACCAAACATCCAGTCGCTCTACTGTTAGCGTGCAGGCAACACGGGTGGTGATCAAAAAGAAAAATAAAAGGTTTTGTTTTGAAAATGCTGAACGCAACATGCTGATATGGGAAGTGAAAGCAAAGCAGGGAGATGAGTCGCTACGCCATATTCGCCGTTCTCTCCATTTTCACTGTTGTGACGTTGCAAGTAAGTTCCCTTTGTGCGATTGTGCTGTTCAACAAATAGTTGCCTCAAGCAGTTCATTGCTGACTAAAGTTATTTTTATTTAAGAGCAGTTTTACCCATTTTTCGCGCGTAAAAACGTGTTTTTAATACAATATCATTGATTTTTTTTTTAACTAACGAGAAACGAAGGATTTAAAATACGGTACTTATTTGAAATGTTATTTTTTTATTAGTTTTAGCTGTGCGTGACATCTCAATCAGTCGGCATTATCGAATCTTTTCAAACATTTTCAAAACTTAATTCATATTTTTGTTATTACAATTATTATTTATACATTCATATTGCTAAACAAATCAAACGATTTGAAAACTCATGATTGTCTGAGTGCTGTCAATAAACGGATCATTTTTTTTTTTCTAAATTGAAGAGCAAGTACAATCTATGCATGATTGATGAAGCACACTAAAAGATTTTACCTAGGCATATAGGTAATAAATGCCTTCGCTGGAAAAAAAAAACGCAGACCATGCGTAAATATATCGAATGATGAACAGATTTCATGCTTAACGAAGTGGGCGCGCTCTACAAAAACCAGCAATAACAAACTCTGGTACAAACTGCATTACGTTTAAAAATCTAAAACAATATATTCAACAACTTTGACTGCAACTCTAATTAGCGCGGTTTTTCAAAGGAAGTTTCGCCACGAACCATAAATAAAATAAGTTTTTCTACGAAAAGTCCAAGGAACAATTTATTTTTGCAAGGAAATGTTTTGTCACCACTTTTCCTCTTTATGGTTTTACCTTTAAAATCTTTGGTCGTAAAGTTTTTGCCGCCCTACTAAGCATTTTTGTATTCTCTAAAACGTTTATAGGGAAAATTTAGCCCATCAAACGTCGCCCAGGGCGGCATTTGCCACGCTCAATTTAACAAATCATTAATTAAAGATTTAAGAGTTGTTGGAACTTCGTTCTTATTTATGTTTTTGAAATTATACAAATATTTTATTAGCTTATCGCTTTAATTGCCAATTAGTGAAGGTATTCATGACTACTTTAGTTAATAGGCTAGCTTAATTTAATGGGTCTTAAGTTTGGTATGAAATACTAGGTCCAATCGGAATGTGACACCTGAATATTCCGGGCTGGTGTCAACTGCAAAGCATTGCGAACATTATCAACCGCAGTCGCAGTATCACGAGAAAACTACACTGAACAGATTCATGCCAATGTTTAGTCCAAATATTGCAACAAAATCAATCAAAGACTTGAATTTATTCTTGAGTTTGATTTAAGTTTTTGCCATTTTAGTTTCACTGTCTGTACATAAAGATATTTACTGAGTAATTTAAGAATGAAAAGAAATATTTCAAGCTTATGTGCTACGAGTATTTAGCAAGAGCTGACTGAAAATCAGTGTTTTGCTCTTTTTAGGGCACTGATCTCTTTACTATGCAGCAGCACTCATCAGAGTAACGCAGGAAACATTATTCTAATCCTAACCAATACTTTCGTTTTTTATATTGGTTTCGGTGTTTGCTTAGCGCTCCAGCACACGACGCCGCCGCTGCGCCGCCGCCGCGCGCCTTTGCACTGCACTGTTCATACGCGCTGCGCCGCGCCGCCACCGCGCCGCCACCGCGCCGTCAAAGCATAATTTCGCCTGCGGCGCGGCGCGCCAGCGGCGCGGCGGCGGCGTCGTATGCAGGAGTGCTTATTATGTATATTCACTAATTGTATGTTAAAGTGTTTGCAAAAAATAATTTATTTATACAATTTTATCTTTCGTAGACTACAGATTTCCAAGACAACCTAATAAATGGCTACCGTGCCCTCATTGCGGACATCCAAGTGCGGACCCAAAAGTCTAGGGAAGACATGGACACGCTGGTCTCGCAGATCAAGCTGCTTATGAAGAACGAAGCTGACAAAGCTATCAACTACATGACAGTGTATTTGGAGCAGATATCTTTATATTTCCAGGTAAGATAATGTATAAGTCATCATGAAATTGTGAACTCCGTCGGTTTATAATATAATGCGTGATATTGTAAACTAACAGTGGTTAGGTTAGTTTAGATCAGTCTTTCCCAAAGTGGGCGATAACACCCCCTTGTGGGCGCTGCAGGCNCTATTTTTCTTTCTTTTTATTAACCTTCAAGCGGGCGCGCGGCGTCGAATCGACCGCGCCTAACACATTTTCGTTCATAACTTTTTTTTTACTTGTTACACATATTTCTCATTTTTAGTAGCCTGTCACTTGCTCATTGTGAGTGAAATAAAGAGCTTACCTCAGCTCTCCGCGCTTTTCCCAAACCATGGCTTGCTATTGTTTCAGTCGCGGCGCCGGCGTCGAAAGCACGCCACGCGCCTGTCGTCGAAAAGGTTACGCGCGACTCTCTATGCGATATAACATTTCTTCGGCTATCACCCAATATTATTGAATTAAGCTTGCAATACTCTTTTTTCTTATTAAATAAGTCGTAGACTGCTAGTACAAAGTGAAATAACAGAAGCATTACTAAGAAAAGATGAAAAAGAGAGTGAATCGGAGCTGAGAGACCAAGCTAAACTGAACCAAAATTATAAAATTATGTTTTATCATTATTTTGCCATTTTTATCGTTTTTACCAGGTATATAAACCATTCTGAGGTATTTTAAAAGATTTTGTGTTCCAAAATTGGTTTTTGATCCAAATTATATTTGCGTTATGTTAATTGATTAAATAATTGTTTCTTTAACTTAATTAAAATTATTTATGACTTTAATACAATCACAATATATCGGCGTACAAAATAATAAATGATTATTGGAAAACAAGTGCTTTATTTCTCTACTAGACCCTATAGGTCTTTTCGTTTACGCGCGACCGCTGCCGTTACAAAAGACCGCGCGCCCGCTTGAAGGTTAAAGGGGGGCGGTAAGAGACCCAGAAAAAAAATCGGAACGTTGTGTAGAGGCTTGGGAGGCGTCATCTACTAGGAGGACTCTTAGATACCGACTGAGCTCGACTCTTGACTACAAAAATGGGGGGCGCTAAAAAATAATTTATTCTCAAAGTGGGCAGTAGACTAAATAAGTTTGGGAACCGCTGGTTTAGATTGTAATCTAACTACATCAGATTATAATTTAACGGTATTCACAATTTAACGGTGACATAATATATAGGAAATCAATTACACAATTAAGTATATAATTGACTAGATGCTAGTACATACTTAACATTCATATAAAGCATAAAAGTTATTTTTTTAAATTACAAAAAAAATGCTAGGGAAATTGGAGTAATGAACTAACTTCACTAGATAGTAATGTTTCATTTATAACATAATAATATGGTCTGCATAATACCCAACAAATGAGCATCGTATATTATTAAGTAGAATCTTAAATGAAAAATCTGACAATCGGTTCAAATTTTCATGAATGAAAATGCCTATTTGTTTCAGGTAATAATCCACGACAGAAAGCCACGCAACGGCACATACTGCAAAGAGAGCATAGTGAAGTTACTTGGCGAAAACCTGCAGCTGGCAGACGAGAATGTGACCCTATGCCTCGCCTTGGGGTACCAGAGAGTACAGAGATTACCAGGTAATAAAAAAAACTCATAGGGGCTTTTGCAAGCATTTGTGAGGAAACCGACACTCGATTATACAAAGCGACAAACTTTAAGCTGCAGAGTTGCATCATCTTATTTTAACAGTAACTATAACGATAACCAGTGTTTTTTGTATGGATTTTGACAGACTTTTGACGTTTCCTAAAGATAAAGTAAGATGACCCAACCTAAGAAACTTTACGTATGCGTATTACGCTTTGATCTAAAATATTTAGTAGACTTTTGGTATTATTATTTTTATGCAAACATTTGTGGCTTAAAAGCTTTTTAAATGTATAATCTGGTTATTTATACCAAGATGATAAAACTGTAATAATCAAAGTTTTTTCATTTTCGCGAGAAAGTAAGATTTTAAACATTTTGTACTCCATACCATATAATTAGTTTTTTTACTGTCGATTATAAAAAAGCATTATCGTTACGATCCGATAAAAATACATAGACACAAGGAAACGTACCCACCATTGTAATAGATAACAAAAGGACATTGTCAGAAACCGCCTAAAAAACCGCCCAAAAACATTAACCCATCATAATTATTTTCTATTTTTTTTAATACATTAAGCACCCTTTCATTCTAATGGACACTTAAGCATTGAAAAATTAAATAAATAAGTCTTTTAACGTTTATTCTATAATACTATTACAACTTCCGGACGTTTTGGTGCGTGGCATNTATTCTATAATACTATTACAACTTCCGGACGTTTTGGTGCGTGGCATGGTCTAAAACCTATCAAGTTCCATAATTTTTGCCGATAAAATCTGTACGAGGCATTACCGTACTTATTGGGGTTAGTCCCAACGGCCCCGGTGGATCTGCCCCGTCAACGGGGTGGATGGGAAAAAGTGTTTCAACGTCCCCGGTAGTCATAGTCTTAGCGTTCAACGGGGTGGTTGGAACACATCAAGTGTCAACCACCCCGGTATATCGTTTAACGGGGCGGATGGATCAAATCAAGTTTCAACCACCCCGGTATTTCACTAATCGTGGCGGATGACACAGATCTAAAAGGTTCCACTTCGGTATTGCATACCGAAAATAAAACCTGGTAATAAAATCTATACTTATAATAAATCTGTAGAGAGGTCAATTCTGTACATGAAATATATTTTCAAAATAACTATCAGGGGGTGATTAGTGATCGATACTGATGCCAAAAATGCAATCAGTAAAATTTTTGTCTGTCTGTCTGTCTGTCTGTATGTTCCTTATAGAAACAAAAACTACTCGACGGATTTTAACGAAACTTGGTACAATTATTCTTCATACTCCTGGGCAGGTTATAGTCTGTTATTTCACTTTGTACTAGCAGTCTACGACTTATTTAATAAGAAAAAAGAGTATTGCAAGCTTAATTCAATAATATTGGGTGATAGCCGAAGAAATGTTATATCGCATAGAGAGTCGCGCGTAACCTTTTCGACGACAGGCGCGTGGCGTGCTTTCGACGCCGGCGCCGCGACTGAAACAATAGCAAGCCATGGTTTGGGAAAAGCGCGGAGAGCTGAGGTAAGCTCTTTATTTCACTCACAATGAGCAAGTGACAGGCTACTAAAAATGAGAAATATGTGTAAAAAGTAAAAAAAAAGTTATGAACGAAAATGTGTTAGGCGCGGTCGATTCGACGCCGCGCGCCCGCTTGAAGGTTAAAATATGTAGGTATTTTATAAAAGTGGAACCCCGAGTGATCTCCAAAACCCATTCTATTATTATATACGATTCGGCTTCGATATCTATAATACAATAGGAGTTTATTTCATGTGTCAGATGACAAGGGTGGAAACAACCTACGATTCATGTTGTTTATTTACGTGCAATATGTGGGCATATTGTAAAAGTGGAATGCCGAGTTGTATTTCTAAAACTTGTTCTATTATTTTATACTATTTGGCTGCGACTCGGCGTGACGACAATACAAAACATTTTTCGCGAATCGGTGTTCATACATTCACACAATACATTAGACGCCATGTTGTCATAAACGACATATTATAAAATCGCTGTGATTTAATATTCTTAATCATTAATTTTATGGCAAGTGTCCATCAGGAATCATTGTTCTTACACACAGAATCGTATTATTTCGCTTTCGGGTAGTAATATGTCAAAATTGTTGGTTCTTTAGGCGAACAATGTATGGAGAACGAACATTGTCCTTTCACATAAAGTTAAATTATAACAAAGTACCCCCACGGTTACCGCAACACGGGAGCTTTATTTACCTTCAATTATAATCCATTTCCAGCATTAAAAAGGTTCCATAAAAACAAATTTAAATGCCAGCCCGTAAGTTTATCTTCCTACGCGTGTTTACTAAAACCGTTCTGTTTACGGTGTACTCGGAAAACGTGAAAATACATCATTTTCACGTACGTTAATGTTTAAAATAACAACCGGTGAGTCGGCACCGGATCCGGTGGCGGATCCGGTAAAGCAAAAAATACGCGAACGTGAACTGGGAAACTCGAGCGCGCGCGCATTTGCCAGATCGCTAGACGTGCCGCGACACTACATTGTATTTTCCTTTGCAAAAAATAAATGCTTCTTGTTTTATTGTTTCTTAGGAGTCAGATTGTTTCTTAAAAAGAACTGAAGTTGAATTTATAGGTACAAATTTAAAAGACTGTTTTGTTGATTTAAGTCTGTGTACCTAGATTATTAATAAGAGTTTAATAGTATTATTACTTAAGTACTTTCAGATACTTACATACATCAATAAGTGAGAGTCAGACTGATTACTAACTTTATTATTTAGAATTTTCATAATTTTATTAGTACAAATTAGTACTTACCAAAAATTACAAAATACCGAAAAATATAAATAAAAGTGACTTTATTTTGCATAAATACGTATTTCCTTTTTATTTTTATGTACTATTATCAAAACTAAAAATCACTAAATACTAGACCAAGTTACTTTGCAATCCGGCCGGATCCGTCCGGATCCAGCCGGATTAGCGTCAATCCGGTGAAATCCGGCCGGATTGAAAATGATACCGGATTGCAATCCCTAGTACTGAGCACGAAGAAATAATATCAGCTCGTAAGTCTCCAATTCGCTTACTTCTTGGCGCATATCATTTCTTTTTTGACCCACCAAAGAGATTTCTCTGCCTTCCCAGAATAACACACCCTATGTGCAAACATCTCCAAGAACTTTCCTTGTAAATTAAATTGCAAGGCATAACATTTCTTGTTTACGCACGACTGTTTGCTACGTCCATTGTCACCGCGGCCCATTTTTATTTGCAGTTCACTTCCTTGTTTGGACTCGGCGAGTTTCCTTTGGCTGTGTCCAAAACAAACCGTAATTATAAACAACGTTAGAATTTGTGTTTAGTATTTAGACATGTATGCAGGCAACTGTATAATGTATTATATAAATTATAATACAGGATTGTTTGACAAACAAAGTTCCTTCCTACACGCGACGATGTAAAAGGTCATGATAAGGAGGGAAGTGATATTCTTTTATTCGGATTTTTTATGTCTTGAAGCTTAAGGTACAGTTTGAGGATTACATGATCAAAGTCGGTGACTTTTACATAATGTGAACTTAAGCTCAGTTCTTTTTGACTTATTTTTTCATTTTTATGCTAGACAAGGCAGGTATTTGACCGCAATCGCACCTGGTGTTAAGTGAGATGCAGTCTAATGGGACCAATTTGATGACAATATCCTAACGGTTCAAGATTCTGACTGCCGTGACTGATGACTCTCTCCACTCCTAACACCATTTTGTTTAGAATAGCTGGTTAGATTAAGCTTCGGATATTAATCATTTAATAAAAACACGACAATAGTATGTATAGCAATACGAAAAACTGCAGTTTCTGTCGCCGGTGGATTCAACAAACCTATAGGAGCTTGAAAAACCAAACTTAGACGTTCGAAGCGATCACAGATATTTTGGCGCAACGTCAGTCCTAATTTTTAATTGCTTTGTTTAAGGCTTGGTATTTCTTCTAAAGTAGGTATTTCGCGCTGTCAAAATCTGCGCGCGCAATTCTTCGCCGAAAACAGCGCGTCAAAGAGCTCCCGCCACAATTTCCAGCTACACAGTATAGAAATACGCAGTTGGTTAAGTTAGGTTGACTTCCTTCCCTTCAAGCGTCACACTCACAATTCGAAAGGGTAATTTGACGGTGTTTGGGGAATTCTAGGAATAAATACAGAGTCTCCTCATTGAGATTGAGACATTTCAATTTGAGATTTCACTTGACATTGAACACAATCTGAAATGGATTTTTCAAACACTTGTAAAAATAAAAAGTAATTAAATCAAAGGCACTAAGTAGTATTGATATCAACTTCGAAGAAAATGACTGCCAAAATTACTTTCTACCCGTTCCACACGTCTTTCATGAATTATATTAAGGTATTGTTAAACTAAATTTCAAGTAGATTGAACCAAGGAATCACTTTGTCCCATACAAACTTTGCCCCCTTTTTTCACCCCCTTCATTTCATGACCCCATTTCGGAAAATCTTTTCTTATGAGATGCCTACGTCATAAAAAGAACACACCTTCCAACTTTCAGGTCTCTACGATATCCGTCAGTCATTTAGGACAAAGCATTTTTATTAGTTGTTCAAAACTCTATCGTTCCAGGTATGTCATTGACAGGAGGGCGCTACTATCTTAATGGGTTATTCATTAGTCCACTTGACATTTCAGAATCGTTTGACTTTAGATACCTAAGCGATTTGATATTCGGAGTTATCAAAAATTTTAGCTTTCTCCAGTAACACTGGTATTATTATACTGTGACTCATCAAAGTCATCATTGTCAAAAATATTGACAAATCGAGAACTGTCACGGCCAAAAAACTGGCACGCGTCCGTCCTCCGTAAGCGCCACCGCGCGACTGATTGAGATTGTCCAAGCCGTCATGGGCGATTTTTTCCACATTTTTTAACATAGTAACTAAATAAGACGCAATATAAAAATTTCATCCGTTAAAAGCCCTCAAGTTATTTCTGAACTTTAGTTTAGTAAAAGATTCAGAATCTCAAATCGCTTATTTTAAAAATAAAACCATAATTAGAAAACGAATAGAGGTAACTTTGGGAATTTATTCTATCGAGTCAACTTCATCAAATCGTGTTTCCATCCGTTAATAGCCCTAGAAAATATCCTCAACTATGCCCAAAAAAAATCTTAGCCTTTTATTTTACTGTTTAGTACCTCAAAAATGAAAAATGAAAACCTCATTTTCGCCATTTTCTCTGTTACCTGGCCTTAAGATCCTTCTTTGTTTTCCTGCAGAGAAACTCCAAGTCCACTTCGAGACGTTGGAAAATTTGAAGAAGTACTCGGCTTCGAAGCTGTTCGAATGCCAGAAGCAACAGCAGGTGGGCGGAAACTGCTCCCACGAAAGCCAGGACTTGGAAAGGACTGTCGTAAGTTGAATTAATATTACTATTTTAGAGTTTAGTAGCAGACGAACTGCGCTTCATGCAAATAGTTAATCATTTTTACGACACAATCTGGAAATTCTCACATTAAAACCTAGTAAAGTACCCTTCATTACATTAAATTTTGCAACCCTAAGCAATACGCCAGCACAGTCTTATAGAACTAAAACCAATGAGATTAAAGTTAATCTAACTCAACGTATGAACTAACTAGTAAGAAAAAGTAAATTGAAGAACTTCCACAGCTAATTGTAGCAAAATTAAATAAGAGAACTTCCCATTGTCATACATTTAAGGAAAGCGTCAACAGATAACGAGGCTTCAACGAAATTTCAAAGCCTTTTGATCTCTACCCAAAAAGCCAGCCAACGTCATCATTTCATCGACTATATTATATTATACTATTATTTCAGTTCCTGTACGAAACTTCGCCATTCCCAGTGGTGATGGCAGAAATAGCCATCCATGGATTCAAAGAGGTGTCAGACCTCAGTGTGTGCCTCAAAGACATCATCTCCAGGATGATGACGCACTCAGTCAAGGTCATAGGAGACTTCAACAGATGCATTCATAACATAGAAATGCCTAAGCTTAAGTATCTTCTCAAGTTCATGAAAAAGTATGCCTGATTTGTAATGTTTTAAGTTTCGATGGAAAATCTACAGTACTAAATAATTTTACAATCTAACTAAATTTCCCTTGTGTAAAATAAATCGAAAATATAAGTTGTAGGAAAGTTATCTTTCAAACTAAGTGTAACAGGCGTCTCGCGTGAATTAAAATAACTCTAATTGCGACTTGAGTTTAAAATAAGTGTAAATAAAACAAAATTAATTAATATCTTAAGTTGTGAATGACAAGAGAACCGCTTGAGGATACTTAACCAATGCCTAAAGTTCTATTTTACGTGTTTGATATAAAGTTAAACTATGTTTTATAAATAAATGTATTTGTAATTTAGTGTTTTATTTACGTCCCTTGTGCTTTGCGAATAAGTTTTAATTGAAAATTATGACGAAAGTTGTTTACCCAAATGAATGAGGAAAATGCTAACTTAAAAGAATTGTAATTACATTTTATAATAAGAAGCACTTAAAAAGTTCATTGCTTTGAATTAGAGGAACATAAAACGCAGGAGACGTCACTTGCAAAATGAGTTTACGAGAAACAAAAGAATTCGCACAATTAAAAAACACTGTTTTCGTTTTTATATCAATGTCGTTAACATTCGCCTCCCAGGAAATTCCTAATTAAGAACGGTATTAAACGTTTGTGTTTTGTAGCGTCTTGAATTAATAATTAAAGGTATTCCAAATGGTATCAAAATACTAGAAACTTCGGGCGTATACAGGGTGTTTTTAATTAAGACAAAAACTGAAATAGTTTTTTTGTAAGTTTAGGCTATTCCAGCAAAATTAAATGTAAGTTCAAGTCAAGCAGTGGATGGGATCGAACTACTTAACCTCTACTAAACATTCCGATATCAACACCGTTGATCTGGCTTGATTTTCGCCTCGATTACCAAACTCTTTTTTGTCACCTAAAGTTAATTAATCATTTTCTTAATTATTAATTATTTTATTTTCAAATTAACACAAAGTTAAAGAAACAAACGCTACTTGTATTCCTTTGTTGTAATTTACACCCTGTACTTAGCCCGAGGTTACACACAAACCAAACGTGCCGGAATGTCTCCAAACGTTAGTTTTCCCTTCAAAGGAACACAAATCTAATTAATATTCCGAGATCTTAATATTGAAACGTATTGTTCTCATGCGTAGATCCCGTAGATTAATTTATTAAAGCCGGTCAAAAGGTAAACGAATATTTAAAGGTATATTCACATTTTTATGGGGCATGCGCGGGGTATACGTTGTAAGTAGTTTCAGACCGCATAGACCCAGGTAAGTATCGGTTCATGCCTAAAAAATTACCAAAGTCCCGCTTATTGTTTGTCAATCAATTGACCATTTCGATTTTATCGACTGATGAATCAATCTGTATTAAGATATATTCGCTAGAACTCGCCTATCGCTGCTGAATAAAATCAGAATCGGAACCAAAATCTAGATGTTTACTTAAAGACGCACGCAGTCTATCAATGATGCACGCAAATGGAAAAATATTTTTAAATGACAACAGCAAACGTTTATTGTAAACAGGAGCAATCACAAAATCCACAATGCAAGAACTTCTATTTAAATATGAATTTGAATGCATTGAAATATGTCATGTGCAGCTCTTTCTTTATGCATTGCGTCCTACTCTTTCGGAGTCAAGTGTAAGGATAGCAAATAAAATGTCAAGTAGAATCGATATTGTAATAGTGACTATTTTGCTTAGTTCTGAAAACTTTGGAGCCTGCAAAGTTCTTATAGTAGTTTAATTGAAATGTCTGAAAGTTTCAGAGTGATTTGCTTTGTTACGTGTCAGTCGTTAACTAACAGATTGACGATACATAATTTAGTTTATAGTCTTGTACCTACAGAATGCCAAAAATTCATGACAAATTATAGAACAACTCAAATATTTAGTACAAAGCAGAAAACTTAAATTCATCGTTAACAACTATTTATTACTTCTTGTACTTATTTAAAATATACTTCGTTAAATTAAATAAGTTGGAAAAGTTTGTATTTAAAACTGTCTTTGTACGTGCAAGAATTTAATTAATCCTTTTATTTCTCGCCGTAAGAAGTTTCAGAGCTTTGTTGTTCTAGTAAAGTCTCACCACAGTGAGCAGTTGAACCTTGATATGGTGTACAAAATATTTTCTTAGTACCTCTAGGAAAAAGGAAAGTGCACACCAATCCAAGACATTTTTCTTAGAAAAAATGTTATTAAAATGAGTGGATTCTGGATTCAAATTAGGCTGTTCAATTTTTTTTTACAACCTATTTATAAAATTAAGCTTATATTTTTTGACGCACCTGAATCGAATGTATTTTTGTTTCTCATCGTTATTATATTCCTGTATTGGATTCCTAGGGTAATAAATAATCGAATACCAAGTTTATCAAACCTAAGCCAGAATTTCAGTACTAATTGCAGACGAGAGACAAGTTTATAGACAAAATTAAATATTCAACGAGCAGATAGAGCTAAAACCAACTACAGTCGGACTAAAACTAACTTAACTAATCCCACTAATCTTATTCTACTGAAGGATATTTAGTTTATAGTTATATTCAGCTGGAGGAGGTGATTTTTGTAGTGAAATATATTTTATTACTGCGATAAGAAAAGGTCAAATCCAATAGGGACTGAAGAGCTCATTTGAGACTGAATGTATCTTTATATCCTATTTAGTTTCGATTCATGTCAATTTGGGGTATTTTTGTTGAGTCGGCACAAAAAATAAAGTAGGTAGGTACCTGCCTTTTTCTTAGCTTGTACTTGTATAATTATAATAATTTGCTGATTTCACAACCTTTTATGCCAAAACGCTTCTGAAAATGTTTGAAGGTATATTCATATTAAGCTATGTTTTTGGGTGAAATCGCGACTCGTGTTTCATACAAACGTCCCACGCCCCGCGCACGCCACGTACATCAATGTGAACATACCTTTATAAGTCTATGGTTAGGTAGTCTTGAGAGCTGTTTTGGCGATAGGTGTATAAGTAAGTATATTGGTAGTATCAGACTTAGTAGGTAGTTACTTGATGTTTTTTTTTTTTTTTTTTTATGCTAGCCAAGGCAGGTATTTGACCGCAATCGCACCTGGATGGAACAATGTATACTTATTACTAGTGAAAAATCTCTTGGGATGTGTATCTAATATAATATTCATGATAAGTAAATGTGGATAACAACATGATGGGTTATTATAATGTTCCATTAAGAGCTTATGGTTATTTAACAGATATGGCAGGCCTATCTACTTGATGACATAATACTTATGTTAAAATATTCTATCATAGCAATTTGCTGTTAACATTTCGATGAACTACATGAAAGTTTAATGCATAATCATTTAAAAACGGACTCAAATTCAGCTCAGACACAAATCTTAATTATTTAATTTTCATAAAGTCAACCCGTTTCGTGTCAATAATACATGTTTAATGGCGAGTATGGAGCGCACAGTAATTGCCATTTGCGGTTTAATTACAACACTTAAGTACCACCTAACAGCGTTCAGTAAAACCGATAGAGTTTCCATAATTTGCATGTATTAGCACACATTTCTTATCTGCATACGGTTTAGTACCTAACTCTTATTGCCTGGAAATGAAACGGTCGCAAGCGGAATGTCTACAGAAAACCATGCAACTCATTTGAATACTAAATTCCTCAATGATTGGGTATGATTTACAGTGTAAGTACGACATGAAAAAAAATCACGACATTTCACTCAAACATTTCGCGAATAAAAGAGTAAGTGAAACCACTTACCAAACTTATGGCAATATCCGCAGAGCAAGGTTGATATTTGAGCAGTCTACTAAATCTAAGAGTCCTTTGAGCCATCGTCAAGGGCCCGACGGGGCGGGACACGTGGATGAGCGGAGAGGGCAGCGGGTGGGCGGGCGGACTCGCCACGGGCGGCATAGTCCGGCGCACAGTCTCCAACGGAACCGTCCGAGCGATCAACGTATCACTACCCACCGAGTTAGCACTACCACTGAACATGTTCATCAAATCGCCTATAGAACCGCCACCGCTCGACCCACCACCACATCTCAACTTGTCCAAATCGGTCAAGCTCGAACCGCGGCGGACTCTCAAACGCGATCCGCTCGCATTCGACCGGCTCTGAAAGTTTTGGTCGCGACGAACGTCCGCCTCGCTCGCCGCCTGCACTTTCCTACTTCGCACCATTTTGAACATTACTTCCACAACATAACACCACCGGATCCACACGATTACTGAAAGTTAGCAGTTAACACCTGCGGCGAAAGAAATTTGCATACAAATGGCTAATAGGTGCGCTCGCGTCGCAATCAATAGGGCCACGGTCGCCCGCAGGATGCCACTATCGCGTCCTCGCGCGTTTCCGCCGCCATCGCTTGCGCAATGTTTTCGACTGATCGAAAAAAGTTTGAATTTCGAATTTTTCTAAGTTCAATCACCCAGTTGAGGGGTGTTCACTGTACGAAGGCCGTAAACGTACTGAGAAGAGAATGCGTAGCTCAGTGTGTGCGTGGATAGAGCAACTCAACTGAACTAATGAGGTGATCGGGTTCAAAGGCGCTCGCAGGACTCCACAGGCTACTTAGCGACCAGACAGCGGGATACCAGCGGGTATTTAATAAGAAAAAAAACAACGCTTATTTATTTTATATCACAGATGGAAATTACACGTTTCAGAGTACGGTTACCAAGGAATAAACGAGTATTGTTACGCTTTTAACAGAACCAACAAAAGCGGAATATTGTTGTTTGCGAAATTACAAGAGGGCCCAATTGAGTCCCTACGATACTTATGATAAATTGACGAAAATGTATCGGTCTTAGGGCTACGTGAAGCTGTTGTTTGTAAGGTTTGAATAAATGTGTATTTTGACGTGATATAAATAAAGTTGAAATTATTACGAGTAAGACTAAATCTACAAGACGGAACCACAGTCAAAGTGTAGTCTTTGATAGGCTGCTATTTCAGAATTCAGCCACTTTGCGTTTCTCGTTATGGTGAAGATTAAGCCGCAAATTATATTATGTTTATAAGATTTACATGAAGCAATTTGGTGCGATGACGGGAGATCGAATACACCAACTTATTTTTGGTGTAATTACTTTATGGCATGGTATTTGTAATATTATAAATAAATTACTTTTAATTTGTCGGCCGTTTGGTGTAGTGGTTCGAATCGGACTACTATTCCGGAGGTTGCGGGTTCGATTCCCGCACAGTACAAACATTTGTGTGCATGAACATATTTGTTTGTATTGGACTGGGTGTTTTCTATGTATAATATGTATGTATTTACAAAAAAAAAAAAGTATTTAAGTATGTTCATATCCGTTGTCTAGTACCCATAGTACAAGCTTTGCTTAGTTTGGGGCTAGCGGCGCAGTGTAAAATGTCCAAGGATATTTATTATTATTTATTTATAAATAAAAATCGGAAAATGTGTTGCTAGGGACAAAATATGAAACGGCTAAACCAATTCAATTTTTTTATATTTCTAGAAGTACGAGGGAGGTTCTCATGAAGAGAAAGATTTGAAAAGATTCCCGGAAACACTTGACATTCGGGAAAACTGAACGTGACTTTTCCTATGAAATATGGATTTCTGTGAGCATATTATTTAAAAACAGGACGATGTCTATGAGTTTATAATGAAAATAAAGAGAGTTGCGAAGTTGAATAATTTATATCAGGTGTACCCACAAAAGAAAATTCAAATATGAACCTCAGACTAAGGTAATCAAAACTTCAAAAATAGTATGATTATGGTAAACTACATTTTCTTCTAATTAAGAAAAAGTTTTTATATTTACATAAATCTAATTTGTCTCCTTTACTATAAAGAGCATAAAAAGTTTGAGCTTTCTGCTAAGTAATTGAAGCCAAATAATACAGTAGTCAAAGAAGTCAAAGCTTTTAAAATAACTAACAGTTAAAAAAGTTTTAAAAAATTGAAACTATCTCGAAAACGTGTTTCTAAGCTTATAAGTAATTGTCTCCTCCCTAAATATTGTCACTTCCCAACAGACGAACGAGGGTGGACACTAATCTATAAGACATAAAGATCAATTAAGCAGTTTACCCATTTATTAGTAGAGTCTGGCCATTATAGATGATTATATGTCTGTATCGGCCTGCAATGTACCTATACCTATTACTAGTAATTTCTTTTAGAAAATCGTATTTACTTCCAGAATTCTGCTATTTCAAAGATAATATTAAAGGAGACGTGGACGTCTATAATTGAAGTTTAATATTTTATGATAAGGTACTTGNTAGGTAGGCCTTATTTGTATCAAGTACCTTATTTCGTGTTCTTTACGGGTAAAAATACTTTGTATCATTTTGTCCACGTATAAATAATTAAAGAAAGTAGCAAACGATTGAAATATTCAATTTCCAACAAATTATAACCAAGCAAGATTCCATAACAACATTTGCCACCCACATTGATAACAATATACTCGTAGTAAGCAATATAAAAAATAAAATATTTTAACAATTAAAGTTCGAAATCACGTAAGAGAGAGCAACGCGCCGCGCACTCTCTGAACTTCAAAATGTTTAAATTAAAAAAATAATAATTTAAATATGTAGAATTACATATTTTAACAAGCAAAGTTATTAAGACAAGTTTACATAAGAATTGGGCTTGTTTGTAACTTGATTTGTTTAAGAACACTCAAGTTAAATTAGGCAGTACACAATTAAGTAAATTGGGCATACGAGAAAAAACATTTTATGTATTTAGACAGAAAAAAGCCTAAATACAGAAAAAAATGTGATTGTACTTTTGTAAGCTTTCGACTTAATTAAAAATGTTAATTTTACCTAGGACTTCTTAAATAGTACGTTTACATTCCTCAGACAGTTTTAAATAGGTTCCGCCTAAAATTAATAACAAAGACCGAATATATTAAATTTAAATACATAACAATTAAATCGGTTTTTTTTTTCTAAGAAAAATCTCAAAGTAAAATGTTTCGTTACACCATAAAATCGTCTGTAAAAAACACACTACAAACATAGGTACAAATCTATATCTCTGTAACGCGTCCGCCATTTATGATCGTCCAACCAATTAAGTCCGTACGATGTGCTTATTAAATAAATTTATAGTGGCGTGAAATCGTACCCCTTAGTGGTAGTTAAAACCACTACTGGATATTGAGCTTCAAGTAAATACTAAACTAAACCGGACTAAATTCTATTTTAATACAAGGTTATGTTTCTCCGGGTGAGAAGTTTAGGTAATGCCCATTTACACCATCAATCCCTAATTTTTAAGTGACCCCTATGGTAACACTTAATATTAATTTTGTTTTCATAGGGGTCACTTAAAACTTAGTGATTGATGGCGAAAACGGGCATGAGGCTTTTATTACAATCTGAGAGGTTAAAGTTTTAATAGAAGCAAGTTTTTCCAATACCTACTCAATAAACCTAAGAAAAGAAGTTAACTTATAAAAGCAGCCTAATTCAACCTTCAAATACCTAGACAACGCAAAACGATTCATTCAATGTCGATGCAACTAGTTAAAAAGACACTTTGAAACTATAGTTAATCTAATTTAACTATAAATTGAGTGCAAATAACAACCACTTTGTTGAAGCCTTTCAGGCGACAAAGTTAAGTCCAATTATAGCGAGAATTGGACGTCTTTCTCGAATGTATCCTTTACGTCAAACTATTAATTGGTGACCAATTCAGATGGAACTGGTTGGATACATCTTAAAGGACGTCGCACATTTATCAACTCGGAAAGGGATCGTAACCGTATCAACTCGTGGGCGGTCTGTATTATTTGTATGAAACTCCATACTGTAAAGCTAAGCGTCCACTTGTCGGTATCGTAAGCATCGGACTTATCGCACGCAACGGATCGTAGGTATTATTTATATGGAAACTCATATAAGTGCGTCCACTTGTCCGCATCGTACGCATCGCACATCCGATACGATTTGTTTCGTACGATGCGTCCGTTGCGTACGATACCGACAAGTGGACGCTTAGCTTAATACATACTTATCCGCACCGTAACGTAGACGTCTCGCCTCACAATTGACAGCGCGCGAAAGGTGATACGGTGTTAATCCCTTTCCGAGTCCATAAGTCTGCTAGACACCCCGCAGAATACAGATTTTTTGTTAGCCGATAGTTGGGCCCGACTTTCATACCTGTCCTTACTGATTAACAGCCTGACTTACCGATTTGGTATTAGCCGATTCCTACAAACCGACCCAACTATCAACCAACAAAAAAAATATTCATTTCAGTAAACCTTTTACAATAAAGTTGATGGGGCCTCCCAGAAAGTAATCGTAAGATACTTGTGTTGGGAGTACCTCGCTCTTCCACCATAATTACAAAAAGTCTGTGGTCTAAGACACCCTGACTTTCTATTGGCCGATAGTGGGGTCGGTTTGTAGGAATCGGCTGATACCAAATCGGTATAGTGTCCGCACTTCTACAACTTCATACTGATCAACAGCAAACTATCGGCCGACTAAAAGTCTTTAGACTACGGGGTGTCTTAATGTAGTCTTTTTATAGCTTTCCATAGATAACATCAAAATATCCGAACGACGGAAACGAACTCAAATACACAAACGAGAGAATCGCCCTCATAAGTTGGAATTATTCTCCATTTCCATTCAATTTGTCTTATCTTTTGGTATTTCTAAATGTTCGAAAAACTAGAGAACTTTTTAGGACAAGCTATTATAGAGACGTATCGTATAGTATAGATACTCATGTACCTATGGGGATTAATACTACACGCGTACGTGCATTAACCATATCTTCTTTTTATTTGGCAGTAGACTATGCACAAAGGAATAATTCTCTCTATGCCTCGCCAGCCAAGGTCGACACATTAAGGGGTCAGCAGACCACTTACAGCACTTTCGCATTTTGCACTTACGCCGCCCAGCGGGGCAGGCGTGTAACTATATGCGATTGTGTTGTTCGTTCAACTGGAGAGTTTTCGATGAATCGGCATTAACGAATTTGCATCGTCAGTAGTGATTGTTGATAAAGTTTTGTTACAGTTACTCTTCTAGATATCGATGATTAAGTACCTAATTATATTTTATATGCATATTATTTGTTGTTTAAGTAAGAAGGGATACGGGAGTTGCGTTTGCTGATCAAAAGATCTCAACAACGAAGACGCATCTACCTATTTTATACATAGTGCCTGCTTTATTTAAGTAACTATGTATAGACAAATGTTGAGTTCCATACGAAAAAAAATTACCAGCTCATAAAAAATTACGTTTTTTTTATGTTGGACTATGATGTATTTAATAATATATAGGCCTTTCAACCCTTTTGTATAAATAACAGATCTACTTCTAACTATAATTGAACAACGCATTAAATAATATTGTATACGAAGAATTTCAGTGTGGTGATTGTTATAAACGATCAACATAAATTATTATTATTAAGGTACTTACCCAATTTGAATGTGCACGCAGGTAAGCGATGAAAATCAGTCTTGATTCGCAGTTATTGTTCATTAGATAATAACAACGGTAACAGATGACCCACGAACAATTGAAGTCAATACGTATATCCGTAAACAAGTTAAACTTGACGTAATAGTTCAGTAAAATTGAAGCAAAATTATTAATTCTCCATTTTCCTAAACCCTAAACTGTCAAAATACATAAACAATAAAAAACATCATACAAATTGACAGTAGAAGCAGATAAAAGTATCCATAAAAACTGTTTTAAATTTAATAAAATAAATAATGTTAAATAAAATAAAATACCGATCTTATTGAAATATAAGTAATTAAATAAAAAAAAGAAAGAAAATTCATGAAATAATAAAAAAAATAAGAAACCGTAAGTATGGACTCAATTCAAAACTTATCAAATGTAACAGTAAGAAAACTTATACTCCCGTGAAATAAATCAAAATATAAAATTATGTCCAGAAAAAAATATCTGCTTTTACCGTTAAAATAAAAAAGTTACTCACGTTTAGCTGCATCACGACTTTGTTATACGCCCGATGCCACCACTGCTTTGGAGTCAGCTTCGGCTGTTCAGGCTGGAACTCTATCCTTTCCTCTTCATCTCTATGCTCCTCATTGAATACACTATCCTCTTGCTGATACTCCTCATCACCTTCATTGAACTGCTCCTGGTCATCGAACTTCTCGTCTTCCTCGTGATATGTTTCGTCCTGCTCGTGGTAAGGCTCTCGCTCATCCTGGTATTCGTCAGGATGGTCATCGTACGGCTCTTCGTGGAACCCGTTCGTCTGTTCGGGCACCTCGTGGTAAGTTGTGCGATCGTCTTGGAATTTCACTTTGGATTTGTCGATAGCTTCTGCAGAAAATAGAACTAATTAGCGTCTAAAGCTTCAACCACACCAACGCGTGGTGCAGATCGCCATCGCCGGCGCAATCAAAGGCCAATGACAGGTCGCGCGACCCATGACAGTTCACGCAACCTGTCATTTCCTTATGATCGCGCCGTGATCGTGCCGGTGATGGCAATCTACACGCGTTGGTGTGGTTGAAGCATTAAAGATTTATCTCCTCTGATATGCTGAATTTGACTGATCTTAGAATTTATTGGAGTAACAATAGGAAAAATGTTCTGACACGTGCTGTACATGTTGTGATGGTGTATTGCGTCAAAAATACAAGTACAAAATCTGTATCTCTTTCTACTACTCCTGTATTTTTTTAAAACTATCAATGCATATTGTACACAATTTAAATTTATTTTCATGAAAAAATACACGTACCTTCTTGTGTCGTCGGAACGGTGATTTTCTCTTGATGAAAAGAACTTTGTGAGGTTCTTCGATCGATGATTGAAGGCGCTTGACTGTGGTAGCTGTCCACCGAGGGCTTCCTCATCAGAGTGCCATTTCTCGTGGGCGATGCAGTCTTTTGTATTCCAGCACTTGGCTCCTCCGACAAGCGCCGTTCTTCCGTGACGTCCTCATGAATGGTATCATGCGCGTACTCGTCATCATGATACCTGTCCAATGACGTCCTGTCACGGTCAACAGATTGATCGAATTCAGTCTTATGATACTCGTCCTCGTAGGCACTTTCGTCGTAACCCGACGGGGGTAAGTCCTCCGGCGCGTCAGGTAAAGTCCGAGTCCGACGCACTGAAGGTCTTTGTATAGACTCCTGTCTTCTCAGAGACGGAGTCCGCGGTAAGGCGACAGGGGCAGATGACGTAACTGTAGACACTGGCACTGCTGGTGATACATCTGGGACGGATGCGGAGATCGGTACTGTAGTCGTACTTGTAAATGGAGTTACGGGGGCAACGGTTGAGGTGAACTGGCTGCTTGGTACAGAAGCAATCGCTGCGGATGCAGGAGGTTGACTCACAGCTGGAGCAACAGCGGCTGCGGCGGCGCCAAAGAAGCTGCCGAGCTTCTTAGCGCCACCTGCCATTAGCGACCCCAAAGTCGCTGCGCCAGTCATAACACTAGCTTGCAGTTGTTGTGCTGGCAGCTTTTGCTGCTGTTGTTGCTGCTGCTGCTGCAATTGCTGTTGATTAAACTGCTGCTGATTAAACTGCTGTTGCTGCAATGGTGGCTGCGGCAAAAGCGGCTGCTGCTGCAACAGCGGCGGCTGTGGCTGCTGATACTGCTGTTGGTATTGCTGCTCCGGCATTTGTTGTTGAGTTTGCTGATCCTGATACTGCTGATCGTAGTGCTGCTGATACTGATAATCTTGATTCTCCTGGTACTGATCCTGTTGATATTGGCTCGACTCAACCTGATACTGTTGTTCTTGTTGATCGTATTGTTGATACTGCTGTTGTTCGTCAAACTGTACGTCGTACTGTTGATAACTATCTTGATATATGTCTTGTTGTCTACTAACAGGCGGTTGAGGTAGATAGGACGAAATAGTACTTGGCACAGATTTTGATAACAAAGTATCTTCAGCACTAGTCACTGGATATGTAAACTGTGTAGTCTCCGTGTCGATCCACGTTGACTTTTGGTGAGCTGTAATGGTAAACAAAACACGAAATATGTTAAAAGAGAACTCTTCACACAGAGAGTAAATAAATTGACACGACATTGCTTAAACGAGACGCAATAAATTACTGAAGCGAATCACAACAATGCGAATCCAGTCAAACGGAAATTCTTATCAGTTTATGTAATTTTGCTGAATGTCAAATGTAAATTATCTATCACGCAACAGTTATAATTAGCAAAGTTAAAATTAGAATGCAAAAACAACATGACCAATTAAATGTGAATTTACTTATAGTGAAAATAGTTACCAGCGGCAGGCGGAGTAGCGTGTGGAGTTTCGTCGAAGAATGGTTGCATCCCATCTTCATCGTAACTAGAAAATAAAAGAAAAATATTAATATTGTTTTTAAAATTATAACTTAAATATTGATTTTGGTTTTGGCTAATGTGGCTAATCTAATACTTTGTCTTATTAAGTTTCAAATATAATGAACATTTTTAATTTGCCCAAAAAGGAGCTGATTTTTTTTAACTAGAATGGAAAGAAAGTTAATGGCTTTAATTACCTCGTATTATAATTAGTATCCTGATACTGATCCGCAGCTGCGGTGTCCTGATACTCCGTCTGGTATGCGTAGCTACTGCTATACCCGTAACTCACATCAGGGACTACCTTTTCGGGTTCTGGCAAATAAAATCAAACGTTGAATTGACAATACACAACTACATACTTGAGAAAATGCACAGATACATGATTCTTAGAGATGTTTATCCAAAATAATTTTTATTAGAGGCAGAAAATGTATTGAGTTCCTGAAGTTCTTGAGGATTATTTTATGCTAGCCGTGTGGTTCCAGCAGAGTAGAATAGGGCCACCCCTATTCTTCACCTGAATGTTGTGAGAAGTGACTAAGGAAGAAATGCCAACATCAAGCCTCCTGTTTGACCAGCGTGGGGAGTGTAAGACAAATCTTCCATTTGCTTCTGGTAAATTAGAGTCAGTCATGTTCCTGCACTGTAAACTAAATGACCAGGATTATTCTAAATTAAAATACGAGTATGTATATAGATCCTAGCCTTCCTCGACCGCAGAACTCATCTCGCTTAGTATAAGGAGTGAAACGGCAGCGAGAGTTGTTGCTACACTTTCAGTGACACCTAGCTTCAGTCAAGACTCCTCTATTACCTCCTCCTTCAGGGACCGGAGTGTGTTGCCAGTGATGACTTAAGGATCTGAGACGTGGTCACTTACTATGGGCCTCATATACAGATTCAAGGTCACCCAAAGGGAAATCTAGCGTGCTCCTTCATTAACTCACCAGGAATGTAAGGCACGTGCGTGTGCGCGGGCGCGACGTAAGCAGCCCGTCTCACTTACTATTAACAGTATTCTATCTACATCGAGAGGTCTTACTACGCCTTTGGAGACACCTAGCTTCAATGAAGTCTTCTCTATTACCTCCTTGTCTCCTCTATTAGGTACCTCCTTGTTTCCTCTATTACCTCCTTGTCTCCTCTATTACCTCCTTGTCTCCTCTATTAGTTCCTTGTCTCCTCTATTACCTCCTTGTCTCCTCTATAACCTCCTTGTCTCCTCTATTACCTCCTTGTCTCCTCTATTACCTTCTTGTCTCCTCTATTACCTCCTTATCTACTCTATTACCTCCTTCTCTCCTCTATTACCTCCTTATCTACTCTATTACCTCCTTGTCTCTTTTATTAGCAATAGGCAGTAGAGGAGACAAGGTAATAGCTCGTTTATAACTCACCAGGAGCTCTTGCTACACCTTCGGCGACAACTAGTTTTAATCAAGCCTTCTCTATTACCTCCTTGTCTCCTCTATTACCTCCTTGTCTCCTCTATTACCCCCTTTATAACTCACCAGGAATGTAAGGCACGTGCGTGTGCGCGGGCGCGACGGGCAGCGCGGGGAGGGCGGCGGCGAGCGGGGGGCGGGGCAGGCGGCGCCCGCGCCCTGACCGCAGGGAGCCCGTCTCACTTAAAGAGAGCAATAGAGTGGCAGCGAATGCTCTTTCTACACCTCCCGCGATAACTAATAGTTTCAGTGAAGCCTTCTCATTACCTCCTTCTCTCCTCTATTACCTCTTATCCCCTCTATTACCTCCATGTCTCCTCTATTACTTCCTTGTCTCCTCTATTACCTGCTTGTCTCCTCTATTACCTCCTTGTCTCCTCTATTACCTCCTTGTCTCCTCTATTACCCCCTTTATAACTCACCAGGAATGTAAGGCACGTGCGTGTGCGCGGGCGCGACGGGCAGCGCGGGGAGGGCGGCGGCGAGCGGGGGGCGGGGCAGGCGGCGCCCGCGCCCTGACCGCAGGGAGCCCGTCTCGCTGCCGGGCGGGACTGGGAGCGCGCGCCCGCGTTTGGGGGTTGATGATGGCGTCGCTGTTAAAGAAATTAATTCATCAGTATTTTCGGGACTATTCCCACCTCTCGTTCCCACCACTGCAACTCCTGTGTAGCCAGGATCTACAGCTTGACCGCCACAAAAACCCAACCAATGAAGGTCAAGTTTGTCCCGGGGGAAAGTTAAACTGTCATCGGACCCGCAACGAAATTAATCAGAAGAACATAGGAGGAGTTCGAAATTAAGGTTCGACTTCCCTCCATTGCAAAGCGGATGACAGGTGACAAACAAAGGTTGAAAACCTTTAAGAAAAGATTATTATGCACCACGGACAATAAATTAAATTAAGGGGGCCTATCTTATGAGCAATTAGCAATCACCTGCCAATAATATTTTTCACAAAATCGCTTAAAAGCACGGAAATTTTTCCTTGTCGCAACAAGATCGGTGTAATAAATTGCAGAAACAGATGTATGTTGTATTGAATTAAGCATTATATCACGTTCATGTTTCCAAAGATCACACTCCCACAATTCATCAGTAGTACTCATAGTCTAGAAATCTTCCTGAAATTGTTCTGATTATTATATTCCTTGGCTTTCTATTATAGGAAGATTAAGAATATATCCCTGGGACTACTCAACCTTCTGGGTGGGTTCTGTTGACAGACAAATACAAACTCCTATTTTTAGTGTTATAGCCAGAATCTATTTAGCTATACAGGAGTTGCAATACTGTCCCCGATAGTTGAAAAGGCGCATCTTAAACTTTTTTCGGATACCTATAAGTTAAGCTCAAGGACAGCTAAGAATTACTCATTTCAATTACATATTTGAAACTTTTTATCCCCGTTTTGATTTGGTGTTAGATGCGCCCTCAGATCATAGATGATCTGAGGATGCACCCTTTTTACTATTGGGGGTAGAATAGAGGAAATGAGAAGTGATGATAGAAATATTGCGCCAATTTTGAATTTATTTTTAGCAGTATTGCACGTTTACCTATACAAGTGTCAGAAATATCTTAGAAATATTTTCATATCCATTGTATCGAATTTAAATTTCAATTACTAAAAAAAACATAATATTTATGTCTTACCAGGGAGACTTGCCGCTGTACGACGCGGCCGCGGTCTATACGGCGCCATTTCATTGCAATCCGAGTACCGAGATGACGGTGGCAGCTGCAAAGAAATATTAATTTAGATGACAATTCATAATTAATCAAAATTCAAGCATAACAAATTGATTATGTTAACTTAGTTTATACAATAGTAAGAGATCAGCAGTGATGAGCGAGATTTTCTCACTTATGGTTCGGACAAACCAACGCGATCACACCGCGATCAGCCGGCGTGCAGCGATGGCGACCAGACCTAAATGCATTGATCGCCATCGCTGCACGCCGGTTGATCGCGTTGGTTTGGCCGAACCTTTAGTGGAAGAAGTGAGCTTGTAGGTAGTCAATCGTTGAAGAAGTACTGCTCTCTACTGTCCTACTTCCGCGAGTCGTCGCCCACGTACGTCTACTGCTGAGCGAGAACTCACTTTAGGACTCTATTCGCGTGCCTCACCTGCTTATTTGGTATCTGCGGTAACTGCACAACCGACGAGCGCCGTTTGTTGACGATATTCTCGTACTCGGTGGGCGTGAGCCCGTAGCCGTCATCGAAGAAGTACTGCCCCCCACTGTCCCATTGTCGTGAGTGGTCGCCCACGTACGACGTCTACTGCTGAGCGAGAACTTACTTTGAGACTCTATCGCGTGCCTTACCACGTATTCTGCTGCCGTTCTACTAAAGACTGACCTGCTTATTTGGTATCTGCGGTAACTGCACAACGGATGAGCGCCGTTTGTTGACGATATTCTCGTACTCGGTGGGCGTGAGCCCGTAACCGTCATCGAAGAAGTACTGCCCCCCACTGTCCCATTGTCGTGAGTCGTCGCCCACGTACGACGTCTGGTAGGGGTAGCGACCAACGTCGACTAATGTAGGTAACATTGCTGTCTAATGAGGGTTTTCGCGTATGAAAAATCCACTAGATGGCAAGACGTAGATATGAGGTCTAACTGCTACGTGATTGGTGAATTTTTACAATCTGTCAATGTCATGTCAAAAATAACCAATCATGCAGCATTTAGACCTCACGTCTACGTATTGCCATCTAGCAGATTTTTCATACGCGAAAACCCTCATTCTGATGCATTGAGAAGTAATAGTCGTACCTGCTTAGTGGGTATTTGTGGCAGCTGCACAACCGACGAGCGCCGTTTGTTGACGATATTCTCGTACTCGGTGGGCGTGAGCCCGTAGCCGTCATCGAAGAAGTACTGCCCCCCACTGTCCCATTGTCGTGAGTCGTCGCCCACGTACGACGTCTACTGCTGAGCGAGAACTTACTTTGGGACTCTATCGCGTGCCTTACCACGTATTCTGCTGCCGTTCTACTAAAGACTGACCTGCTTATTTGGTATCTGCGGTAACTGCACGACCGACGAGCGCCGTTTGTTGACGATGTTTTCGTACTCGGTGGGCGTGAGTCCGTAGCCGTCATCGAAGAAGTACTGCCCCCCACTGTCCCACTGTCGTGAGTCGTCGCCCACGTACGTAGTCTGGTAGGAGTAGCGACCAAGGTCGACTAATGTAGGTGACATTGCTGTCTAATTCTGATTCATTGAGAAGTAGAAGCGTACCTGCTTAGTCGGTATCTGCGGTAACTGCACAACCGACGAGCGCCGTTTGTTGACGATGTTCTCGTACTCGGTGGGCGTGAGCCCGTAGCCATCATCGAAGAAGTACTGCCCCCCACTGTCCCATTGTCGTGAGTCGTCGCCCACATACGACGTCTGGTAGGGGTAGCTGCTCGAGTCATAGTACTCCTCGTAGCTGGCCTGCTGCGATAAATGTGAGTGGTCCCTGAAATAGACGAAGGTTTTTCATTATGGATTCCGCGATCTTATATTAGGTACCTACTCATATTTATTTATGTTTTCTTCTAATCGTTTTCTTTTTACCAACTGAAAAATATATGATGTAGGGCATGGGGGCTGTTTGTTTTCCCAATAAAATAAAATAATATTGCAAACTTGGTTTATAAATTCAGACAACTTTCAGGAGCTGACCGAGTTGATCACCAGAGGAATATATTATGAAGATTGACTAAAGAACACAATTTTGTTACAAATACCTCGGATATAAAACACGTCGTATAAATTTTAACTAAAACAACATAATTACCACCGTTTTTTTCATACGACCCAACTCGATCGAGCGGGCACTAAAATGCAAATGTGTAACTTTAGTTTAAAGCTACCATTGGTGGCGCTAGTGTCGGTTGGCTGTGGCAGTGGGAGTAACCAGACGGAAGTCACGTGGCCAAACTGTACGACTAGTATTCAAACCGGAAACGAATTCTTCTCTCATTATTGATTGCAAAGAACGGTACACGACTTCGTACACGTGGATCCCGTTTTACTCCCTTAGGGGTGGAGTTACGTAAAATCCGTTCCTAGTGAGCACCTACGTTCTAAAAGAAACCCCCATGCAGAGACTCCTAGCACTTTTAGTTTCTGAGATTACATGATGAGTGAGTCAGTCAATGAGTGTCGCCTTTCTCTTTTATAGATGGTATAATATTCCTTACCTAATGTGCGTACTAGTTGTGTAGGCATCAAACCCGTAGCCTAATCCGTCGTCGTACAGAGTATTCTGTCGCTCGAGACTTGGTCGCCGCTGGTCCTCTGGAACAAATTAAAAAAGTGTTGTTAGCTTTGACTGAACTAGATGGAATCACATGCTAGAATATATTCTTTAAAATCTGGTTCTGAAGTCAGTAGACTATACAGATCCAGTAGTCCACAAGCATCAGTGTTTAAAGCTTAGGACAGGTCAAAAGTCACAAAAATAACCATGTGTCCATAACTTTACAAAAGTCCATAACTTTTAAGTTCCATTCTACTATAGTCCTAAAGGAGTGATATTACAGAGTTGACTATGGAATTATGAGGATAATTTAGGGATGCTGACAAGTTTCAACAAGTAGGCTTATACAGGATGTTAGGTAAATTGGTATATGAGCCGACACTAGCCCATGTTAACATGGTCATATAAATGGTATGGTGAAGTCAGAAAATTGATATCTACATTTTAATTATTTTAATTTTCATACAAATCGGATTTTATAAAATTTATTTCGTATGAAAATTAAAAAAATTAAAATGATGATAACAAATTTCTGACTTCACCATACCATTTATATGACCATGTTAACAGTGGCTAGTGTCGGCTCATATTTATTTATTTATTTTATTTATTTATATTAGGGAAACAAACAATTTTGATATACAGACAAATAATCACACAAAAAAATAGGACAGAAATCAGCAAAGTTTCCACAGTTAAAATTAATACAGAGTGCAGACTAAAAATTAATTAAATAGTAATAAATTATACATTAATTTCTAAATGTCAAATAAATACAATGTCAATTTTATAAAATGTCAAACAGTACATAATATACCCATTTACCTAACACCCTGTATAGTGAATTTAACGAATATTTATTATTTAGGTATTAATTAGAACTCTATCATTACAGTATGATATTTCACTTTATCCGTCGAGCTGGCGCTCATAGCCCGTGCAGCTTCTCGACTGGCTACTGCCTACTGGGACGTCGCGTTGGCGACGGACTGACCTGTAGCTTCTACCTGGCACCACTGTCCCGCCCTCGGCGCGGTACTAGCCCACCGGGTGAGTCGATGGTCGAGGCCCAGTAAACGACCAGCAAGCGTGCGGTTCCTAGATGCCAAGGGAGCTTGCAGGTAGATTCAGCCAAGGGAAGGTAGTTGTAGGTAGTCATTCATGGCTCTCCGGCGGGGAATTACATTACGGCACGTATTACGCATACGCATATTCGTGGCTCAACTACGGAGTAATTATGTGGGGAAGTAGTACAGATGCCCAAGATCTCCTGATCCTCCAAAAAAAACTTATTAGAATAATATTTGACGATTACTCAATATACGAGAACACAATATACTCACCCTACCTAGCATATACATATTAGAGACGTGTAAATTTGTCAAAAAATACCCAGAATTTTATAAAAAACGAGGAGACATCGACAGTACATACAATTTACGACATCGACAAAAACTCATAACACCTCCATCCCGCCTTGAACTGTACTCATCGGGTCCACTTTCCATGTCAATCAAAATTTTTAATAAGCTTCCACTTTCAATAAAAAATACACCCAAAGAATCAATATTCGTAAAAAAACTTAAAGAACTTTTAATTTCCAAACACTTTTATGCTTTAAGCGAGTATCTCAATGATAAATTACTGGGCTCTAACTTCTGATACATCTTTCGGTTGATCTGGGGTGGTCCTCCTCTCTCCTAATTGCAGTGCCCTACAGGGTCCATAATGTTCTAATTTTAAGTACATAATGGATGCAATAAAATATTGAGTATTGAGTATTGAATCAAACCCCGGTTTCCCGCGTGACAGGCGGGGATACCGACCACTATACTACCGAAACTAAACTGAAGTACATCAAACGGTGGAAATATGAAGTAAGTACCTGCGGACTGCCAGTCGGCGGCGGTCCGCCAAGAGATGGCAGACTCGACGCTCGCCTGTGCATGCAGCTGGGACCAGGTCTCTATCCTGGAAAAAAATAGTAAAAAAAATAATTGAAAACCATTTAGCTAACATTATGCTGTCCATGACCCTGTCCCGTCGGCCGTGTGGTGACGGCAGAGTAGAATACATTTGTCACCAACCCCTACTCTTCCCGCGGGTGTCGTAAGAGGCGACTTAGGGACTACACATCAAACAGAGAACGGGCAGCAACGCTCTCTGACAAACATAAATCTTTTAAACTGCGATCTCCAACCCGCCTTCCAAGCGTGGGGATTATGGCAAAACCCTCTACCATAGTGGAGGAGGCTCATAGTCCAGCAGTGGACTGTAAAGGGCTGTTGATGATGATGCTGTCCATGAGTTTACGTTAGGTGTGCTCGCTAGCGAGTGCGTCAAAAATATTATGAAAATTTCAGATTGAAAGTATCCGCTAGCGGCGCTGTACAATCTGTCATGCATTTTATGTCATTTTTTACGTAGTCGCTAGCGAGCACACTTAATGTAAACTTATGGTAAAGCACACTGAAACTAAAGCAATACTTTAGGAAAAGCTTTTTAAGTATTTTTAAAGTTTAATCTAATCTGCACCATCTTACTTTAACTTTGACAAACGTCAAAAGTCTGTAAAACTCCATACAAAAAGCACCGGTTATCCTTATAGTTGCGGTAAAATTGTATAATTTCATACCTATTTGTTCTCGGCTGACTGTTATAATACAAGGGGTCCGTGTCGCCGTGTATGTGGTACTCATCTCTCTCGTAAGAATTCTCTCGGGACACCTCCAGTGATCTCTGAAACGGATAAAACATGAACATAAGTGTCAACGGTCTAATTTAATCCAGCATTAAAATTACTTAACATAGAATGTAAAATAGCTACCTAAATATGTGATTTAAAAGATACTAAATAAAGGTAGATTTTGGTTTTCTTTATAGATTTTAGTTTCTAATTTTAGCGGTTATGAACCGCCTATTTCTTACCCTTCAGTTTTCAGTGTGTCATTAAAATTTTTTCCTAAAATATCAATAATGTCTACTCTACTAGTAACCCTATCAAGTGGTGTAGAACCTAAATTTCATATTTTTAGTTCGGTTCGAATTATCTCAAAATATAGAGATGCAGATTTATCACAATCAAGACTCAAGTCTAACTGGCCAACCAAAGACGCTTGAAAATTTCAGCGTGTTGTTTATTACGAATGAATGAATGAATCTAAACTGGCTTTCATACCAGTTTAGACCGCTCATTTAATGAAAATAAACCTGTCTAAAGAGTCCATTATAACGTGTTGCTCATATTTCGTAAATCATCATCAGAGGAACCACATCCGTGAGTGAACACGGGACTTGGTATTATGTGAAGTTGTTAACACAGAAACGCAATGCGGATTTGATAGCATTATGAACATTCGGCTGAGCATCCCAAAATGTATTCAGTACGTTAACTAACTTAATGTTGGTTATGTAAACGAGCCGACAACAATGTTCACGGGATGTACAGTGTACAGACAGGGCATCAAGTGGCACTGTGACTTATGAGTTGGTAATAGGTGGTATTTTGGAACAAATATATTTATGTGTGATGTACTGAGGACTGAGTGTGAGTTGCATCAAACGTCCTCACTAGTGAGCGTGTTAAAAAAATATGAAAATTTTAGTTCTAGTTCTAGTCTAAAGTTTCCGCTAGGGGCGCTGTACAATCCGTCATACATTAAGGGTGAGTTGCACCACCTAATTTTTACGGTAACTATAACGATAACCGGTGTGTTTTGTATGAAATTTGACAGATTGTTGACGTTTGTCAAAGTTAAAGCACATGTTAAAGTAAGATGGTACAACCCAGCCTCAATGTCATTTTTTACGCGCTCACTAGTGAGGACGTTTGACATAAACTCACACTAAGCCCTCTTTTGACTGTACATTCAGCCCCCCTAGTCAAAACGCACTTTTTGATCGAATCGAAAATCGAATCCGTCAAAACTCCATACAAAAAAGGGGCTTTTCGACCACTTTTCGACTGGTTTGCGATTATAATTTGCACTTTGTCTAGACCCACAGTTACCAACTTGCAGCGAGCGTGTTGTTATGGCATCTTATTACGTTATGACATGCTTTTAGTCAAGCTAGACAAAGTATAATATTGTAGTTATATGGTAAAGTCCTGACCAGTGCTGGGTAGACAATGATAAATTCACTATCGATTATTTTGTTACAATTTATAATCTGTGAATTTTGAAGAAGTTTGTATCCTACCTACAGGTTCCGAGGTAAACTTGAGAAAACTCTTCAGACCCACAAAATTAAATATTTATTCATTTATTGTTGAAGATTTACCAACAACATATCATTTCACATACATCGTTACATTATTAGAAAGCTAGAATCTAAAAAATATGCCTTTACAGGTAAATATAGCAATCAAAGAAAATAAGTCTAAAGAAAAAAGAACAGATTTTAAGGAAATAATCTAATAAATATAATGAAAATAAATAAGGAAATATTTTGTAGCTAAAAATAAAACAGTCTTTTGAAGTCAAACAAAAGTATTATTTTCTCTGTACGTATTAGGTAAAGGCAGTCGACAATATTCGAGTAATGAGGAAGTGAATCCAAAATTGAATGTTACCTGTGGCGTGTGCATCTGGTGTGCGGCACTCCTGAATTGCGATGCGCTGCAGTTTGCGTGCTGGCCCACTGGATAATTGAGGTCTGAGGTGTAGTCAGAGTCCTCTGAGTACCCAGCTGCAATATAAATAAATAAATAAATAAATCTTTGGACAATTTCACACAGCGCCAGCTAGCCCCAAAGTAAGCAACTTAATGCTTGTGTTATGGGTGCTAGCTTAACGGATATACTACTTGAAATGAAAATAGGATATTTAGTTGTAAGTTTTTTTTTATGTGACATGAGGCAAACGAGCAGACGGATCACCTGATGGTAAGTGATTACCGTCGCCCATAGACACCCGCAGACCCAGGGGCGTTACAAGTGCGTTGCCGGCCTAATCAGCTCTACTATACTGTAAGAGGGTGTAAGAAAGGTTGAAGTCTGATTGTAGCAAAATAGCCCCTATTAAATAAAACAATATGCCAATGTCTGGCTGTAACATGCCGTTACCGAAAAAAAAAACATAATGAACAATTAAAAGAATAACCCTGGTATAAATCCTAATCATTCGCAATGTACTCATTAAAATTGCATAGTAATAGAAAAAAAATACTTAACACTATGCACGACCAAACGATAAAACATGGCTGCTGTCAAACGAAAGCCAAATGAAATCGTATGCTTTTCCAAATTTTAACGTTCAATCAGATTCTATGCTTTATCGGAACAAATGTACATCACTACGATAATATTCAGAGGAAAAGGCACTCTGTCACAAAGAACCACTATTCAAACAAACGTTTTAGTCGTCGACGCAAGGCGTAAAATTAGTTCCTAGAGATTGCATGTAATGCATCTGGCTTCAGTTTGAGCTTACTCAACTTCAAGCAAGTATAGTTGAGAAGACTTAGGACTAAAAGACTTGATGAGTAATTGAGGCTCGTATCGTATTACAAAACAACGCTAAAACTCGAAACAATATCAATTTATAGAGTCTGTCCATTCTAAATCATCTGAAATTACAATAAAATTGCGACTGAAATTTTATTGCTTTTATTTTTAAGTAAAATAGGTATTCTAGGCAATGATCAATCGGATTTAGAAGAATAGAAAGATGTAGTCTGTCTCGTCAAGTTTACATCAATCATGTATTTTATTTTAACCGACGTAATTATTTCAAGAAATGACCATTTTTCTCATGGCTTCCTTTTTTCTTCATAGTGTTTTTGTGATGAGATAAAGTGAGTCACGATCTCGACAGAAGAAATTAGTTCAGCAATATGTGTAGGCACAAAACGCAACAATCAAACGTATTTTCTCATAATATTACTCAAGACTCAATACTTTATTGCACACCACATTAGCGCATAGATCTTACAATTTAAGCAGTTATACTATATGGACCCAATTAGGGCACAGCAACTTTTGGAAAGAGGCAGTCTAGTCTAGATATATTCTTTTACATACAGTGGGCTATATACTGCATCTGCCTGCGAGCTTGTTCTGCCCTCTCGGCGTCCAACGCGCCGTTGAGCAGGTCAAGCTTACGCTGGAGGTCGGCACCGCCCGTGCCTTCCGCATCTGTAAGCAATAATGAACTTTATGTTATTGACATGTAAAATCAGGGTTTCTTAACACTAATACTTTTTTTAAGGATTTAGTGATTTATAAATACAAATTACTAATAGTCTCGTTAACCCCTCATGGTAGGCTAATTATGCTTGTGTTCACCAAAATAGTCGAGTGACAGCGGGGCGCGTTCCTCGGATCACGAGTCGGCTAGTCCAACACCTTCACCGTTCGGCTTCGTCGCTTCAACTTTAAAGTGTACATTATAGTAGACTTCAAGTCCTATTGTTATTGTTTTGTTAGTGTGTGTCGGTCGAAGACTGTGAAAGCGTTAAGCTGGGGTAGGACAAAACCTCATGACTCACCACAAGATTTAACATAAGACAGGCGACAGGTTACTGGACTGATTAGTTGTTAGCCAGAGAAGAACAAGAAACCAGATCAGCCGTCACATAATCTAATAATATACCACATCTCTTTTGTATGTACCTACCTATTTTTTTGTACATTATGAAACACTTGACTATATTTTATTTTGAGAAAAGAACGAATTTCCTTTGATTACTTACTGAAAAGCGACTCAAAATGCGTATCCCAATTATCTCCTCATCTTTTATGTAGAGACCTACTTAAATTCTATCAGGCTGTCTTTACAAATAACATGGTAAAAGAAAACACAAAAGAAAAAGCAAACAGTTTTCTTCTCAGTGTACTTTTTATAAAACTTTTATGTTGCCAAGCCAATGCCAGTCATTGGCCTGCTCCAAATACGGCGCGCTGCTCTGGCGGGCCAATTTATTATTAACTAAATTGATTCCCAGTGACTTCCGAGAATAGCGTGAACAACCTGTATAATAGGGATGTGCGATTTTTCGTATATGACCCGAATTCTCGGATCACTTTATATGGAGTAGTGTAAAGAGAGCATAGATTTCGCGATTTGGCAAGCGACTTTCAAAAATAGGTACTACAACGTATAAAATGTAATAAAAGAATACAAAAATAAAGGATAATCATTCACGCCTAAATATTTGTGTCTGATGTGGTTGTTGCATGAGAGACAATGCCTCTAAGAATGAAGTCCAGCAATTATAAATACTTACATTATTTGGTGCATTAAACAAAGTAATACGTAGGTAAGGCACGCACTCTCATGTTTTTTTCCGTAGGTGAATTTTTACATGATAGTTTCCCTTAAACTTAATCATTTCTATTTTCAGAACGATCTGCTAAACATCATTTGGCTTTGAATCGATTAAACAGACCGAATACTCACCATACAAACTTTGAACTGGCACATCTCTAGTACGACACGTAGTACGTTTGTTTACCCTTTCCGATTTAGTTAATTGGTTAAATATTAACGTGGTTGGATGACGCTATACATATTAAGCACTTGCGCTAAAGTGCTTACGTGGCTAAATTAAATCGGCAAAGTTGAACCACTGAAAATTGGACGTTATTACCTATCCAATTTGGTTATTTTCAGAATGCCTGTACCGTATTCAGACGAATATGCAACCTTTGCATTGTACTATACGTACGAATAAGCCCTTTTTGCTCTCAAGGTACAAAATAATATGTACCTTTTCTATGAACTCATACGGTTAGATATAACCATCTCGGATAATGTGATTGGTTTACATTATTACATCAAACTATACAATATTAACCAATTATTAATTATCCGTAAGAAATAAAATACGGGAGATTTTGACGAGAATTTCATTAGGAGATCAGATATTAGAAATCAGCACAAAAAAATAGGTAAAGTAAGAAATTGTGATTAAAAACCCTGACATACTGGAATCCACGTGCATGAAACATCAGCAGAGAAAACTTTCACTTAATATTTACCTCCTCAAGGTTAATAGATTTATAAAATTATAATAACACTTTTAAAGTTTTTGAAACGAAGTTTTTCAAACGTGGTCGACCCAGGCAAACATGGCGGCGCACTGTAGCGGACGAGGCGAAGAAGATCGGCAAGACCTGGAGCGAGATCAAGTGGGCAGCTCAAGACCGAACGAGATGGAGGACTGTTGTGGACGCCCTCTGCCCCATCTAGGGGACATAGGACCATAAGTCAAAGTTTAAAGTTTTTACGTATATTTTGTAGTGAATTATTCACCACAACAAATTAATTCACAACATATTCACACTGGTGGCCGTCGCTACTCACGAGATACGTCGACCAAACAGCAGGCACAATATAATATTTTTATGTAAAGAATGTAATTTAAAAATATACCAGCGCTAAACTTTAAAATATGGCGACAGAGTAGCATTAGTTGATGAATAGCCCCATTTATGGGCAGAGCAAATAACCTCCATGGCTAGCAGAGCACGCAAGCATTTTTCACAAGGCACAGTATGTACATGGTGTGCAGGTTACAATTTGCATGCTAAGAGCGACATTGGTTCAGTCCATGACGTCATTGCTTAACGCTTGAAAAATGTATGTGAAACTTCATAAACCTATTTTTAACTACTAGCTCAAGTACATTGTAAGCTTGCTTTAAAAGCTAATTAAAAATATGTCTTACTTTCACTGCTCGGTAATTACTTGAGTAATTTCAACAGCTATTTTAATTGGTGCCAAAAATAAGTATTTTTATATACCCTGGGGCGATATAACTTACGAGTACCAGTAGTTACCATAAAATCACGATCGAAATCTTTTCTTTTTGTTGGTTTAGTTAGACTAATTAACTTAGTTTACTAAAGCACTCACAGATAATTTCTGTTGTTTGCCCCTAACAAAAAACTATCTACCTATTTACTTGTTCCACTATGGATATTTGGGATTTTAATTCTAATCATGTTTTTAAATACTAAAGTTAACCTGAATTCATGATCATTATAGTTTCACATATGCCAAGAAAACCCACGAAAAGTTTTTAACTGCCCGAACTTTCTTACTATTTTATCCTCAAACAAACCCACGAAGTATGCATACTTTATCTAGATTTCGCCGCGATTAAAAGTGAGTTAAGTTGTAAAAATATAAGGCGTAGTCGCGTGACAAGCTTACCATGTCATGACCCTAAGTAGAGTCGGTAAATTAATCATAAGGCCTTCAGAAGTAGGTTGTAGCTTTGACAACCATACGTAACACGTCTGCGAAAAGCAAAAATAGTATGGGAATAATAAGCTATGAAACAAAGTATGCAAGCACAATGGTTGGAGTGAACTAAATGGGTTGTCCTCACCAGAATTGTCCCTACAGGGGGCAACTGGGAATTTAGTTACTTATAAAGTAATGAACAAATTATGAAAACCGTTTTGTAGTTTTTGAGTAAAGCGTTCAAATAAACGCTAAATTCTTTTATAATTTGTAGTGATTTAATACCGTTTATTCACAAGGTAAGGAGGAGAGACTGGAAAATTTTTGTAAATAAGTTCCCATTTGTCCCCAGTTGGGATGATACTGGTGAAGACAATTGAGATTAACCGTCATTTTTCCGCTGGAGTCATATTCTGAAAGAACTATATTCGACCTCAAGTATAGATTCAAGGCTATGATTGGTTGAATTTCATTATTGAGACCAATCACACGGTTGGATTCGAACTTGAGTGCAAATTCATACTTGAATCGGGCTATAGATTCAACGACGGTCTTTTGTGCGTAAGGCCTTGATTTTTCACTCGGGTCAAGGACAGAAAAAATATAATACACGTCGTGAAGTTTTTCATCTATGTAGTATATCTATACTTCTGTACTAATATTATAATATGCAAAAGTAGCTCTGTCTGTCTGTCTGTCTTGCTTTCACGCCTAAACCAATGAACCGATTTTTGTGAAATTTGGCATAGAGATAGTTAGAGTCCCGGGAAAGGACATACATAGGTTTTTGAAACAGGTACGCACGCGATAAAGTTTTTCTGTGACAGACAAAATTCCACGCGGGCGAAGCCGCGGGCGGAAAGCTAGTAGTAAATAAAGTTTAAATTATACTGTATGCATCTGCTGGCTATGGTGAAATAAAAAGTCTAACATCAGTTGTTACAGCTTACACAAAAGAAAAAGTCGTAAGAAGCGAGCTGTAACCTTGTACATAGAGTTCAAAATTAGTATCACATCTTTCATAAGGCATATTAGATTGATTGCGTCCCTGTAAAAAGTAATAACCACACTAGAAAGGGAATAAAGAGGGATTTTCCGAAGGTAATCATTTTATCTCGCGACGAAGTGGATTACATTTACCAGTAAACGACAAAGGAGCTAGTAATGTCCTGTCTTATGTCTACGACGCGGTAGGGTCGGGCCATTTTGTTAGCGGGAAGAAAAACTCTCCAATTTTGACTATAATAAACGTCCAAAGTCTGTTACATCTCCGCAAAAAAAAACATCGGTTATGGATATTGTAACAGTTAAAGTATGGTGATACATGTCAGCCTTAGTAATAAACTCGTACCTGAAAGGTACACAAGTTAAAAAATAAGCTGTTGATGACCGCGGCGTAGACCACTGTACCGGCAATTTAGTGGACTGGCAGTTGAGAAAATCCTTAGGGGAAGCTTTGGTCCAGCAGTGGACGTTCTTTGGTTGAAATAAACAAACGCGACGTAGTATAAAACCTTTATACAATTAAAACAAACTAAAAGTCACTTGGGTAAAGCGACGCACTAAAACTAAATAGCATCTTTCAGGCGGATTTAACTTAGTATCAAAATACTCATTTCACCACCTCAACGGGCTGTAGAATTTTCCAGGCAAAATAAGAAAGCAAAGGTTTGTTATAATCACCGTAGACGCGCCAAACTTCACAATTCAACATTATTTATAACCTCAATTTTAATTTTTCGTCTAAAATTTTATGCAACGTCTCAGACGAAGAGACTTCGAAAACTTTTCGTGGAAAAAATATCGACGTGAGAAAAAATATTATATTACAATTTAACGGCATCATTAATATCCAGAGGGTGATTTGTACCTAGGGCACTATTTAAGTTGTGAGCCTCGACAACATAACGTGTTATTAGACGACATCTGATACTTTTAATGAAAA